CATTTGCTTATCAGACGGCAAAATGAAATAGGTGTCATGAAGATTGTTAATGTCGCAAATGTATCGCCATTGTCACAGAACACACGATACAAAACCATAATCGCTTTTTTAAAGATATAGGCATGTTAATGTGTATCAAAGGTAAGTTGTAGATCCATAAAACTGAAAAATGTGTTGTACATCTACACTAACAATATTCCTTTTCACGTGACAAATATGGTCTGGATGTTATGGCGCTCGATTGGCAATCTGCTGGTCATAGGTTCGAATCCCCATCACTGAATATGCTCGCTGTTTCAGGTCCCACGGCGTTATAACGTGAAGGTCATTCCCATTATTAGTTGTATAAAATGTGTTGTTTCATGTAAAACTAAGGAGTGTTTGATTGGTTAAAACAGGCAACAAAACACTACAGGTAGAATCAAAATTTGAAGGATACGTCATGTGTACGTAATATATATTGTGAAATTGAAAAAACTTTAGAGCTCACAGATTTCAAAAGCAAGTTGGTGTTGACCAGCTGTTTTCCCTCTAGCTTATAAAATTAGGAACGGCTAGCGCAGATAGCCCTCGAGTAGCTTTGCGCGAAATTCACAAAAACAAAAAACTTTCTCAGTCGACCATGATAGCATAAGATGTTTGGCGATGCATGCATATACAGTTTCCCAAATTAACACACAGACACACACTTATATCTATACATAACTTTTTTTTCATAATCACAAAATGATTGTAATGTCCATAAAGTTCCAAAATTCTAAAATCATATTTTGCACATACAACATATACACTATGGATGAATACACCACAGAACACAAGATTATTTATTGCCTGTCGATTCTCATTGATGGACTTTCTGTAGGAACATAATAGGGTGATTGGCGGATCCTAGAAGTGAGGATGAGAAATGTGCCATCACTTTGAGTGAGAACCAAAATAAAATGTGTTGTTTCAAGTAAAACTAAGGAGTGTTTGATTGGTTAAAACAGGTAACAAAACACTACAGATAGAATCAAAATTTGAAGGATACGTCATTTGTACGTAATATATATGGTGAAATTGAAAACAACTTTAGAGCTCACAGATTTCAAAAGCAACTATAATAACACAGTAAATAACGTCCATAAGAGATGATCAGCACACCCATGGACGTAAAAGCATCTAACCAGCACCAATACCTCATGTAGGAGTGTCATTACCATTGTCAACGTTCGCAGACTGGTCGTCCAAGAACCCACTCCACCTCACTTAAAAACGTAATTACTGAAAAGCTGATTCACAAAGATCTTGCTCTAGTAAAGAAGCATCAATCACATACACAAGTTGCTTTCTAATAGAGTAAGCAGAAAACTCTATGAAAAATAACTAGCTCGTGAAAGATCTAAATTTGTTAAAAATTGGATAAGTTCTGAACATACTGAAGTGATTATGAAAAGAGACTTGGAATTTGCTACCACCAGGAGGAGATGAAAACTTCAAAACTTACCACAAGTTTCTCATATAATGGGAACTTCGCGAACCATGGACATGTAAAAGATGAAATTACTGTACTATATGGCAATAGTACATCGTGCTAACCCTTTCTCTAACATACCTATGAAGTCACTCATAAACTTCTATACATTTGATTTGCTTAGCATGGTATTAAAATACTACTTCTCCTTGCAGTGGAGAGTCTGGAATTTTTTAAAAATGTGTGGTCTAAGATAGACCTCGCCGTCCTTGACAGAAGCTTGCTACAATAGAAAATCGCTATGAAGTCACTCATAAACTTCTATACATTTGATTTGCTTAGCATGGTATTAAAATACTACTTCTCCTTGCAGTGGAGAGTCTGGAATTTTTTTAAAAATGTGTGGTCTAAGATAGACCTTGCCGTCCTTGGCAGAAGCCTGCTACAATAGAAAATCGCTATGAAGTCACTCATAAACTTCTATACATTTGATTTGCTTAACATGGTATTAAAATACTACTTCTCCTTGCAGTGGAGAGTCTGGAAATTTTTTCAAAATGTGTGGTCTAAGATAGACCTAGCCGTCCTTGGCAGAAGCTTGCTACGATAGAAAATTGCTGTGTCAGATAGTAGTGCATAATCATGACCATCAGAATGAGAACGATAGATGACGAGAGAAGTAGGTTCAAGGGCAGCATAAGACCTGGAACATCGTTCTTATAAGATGATGTTACCCCTTTGTAGTAGCTGAATACAAATGAAGTAGGATCATTTTCCAGCTTGTTAAAAAACACTCGAGCATGCTCGCATGTTGCTTTTTAAATTGCTTATTTTCCTAGATATTAATGGGTTGGGCGCGACAGTGGTTAGCATGCTGGATTATGGATCTGAGGATATGCGTCCCATTGCGTTCCTCATCTGGGGTCGTGGGTGCGTTACAAGAGTGACCATCAAGTTCTTTTATTCAATTAAAGTGGCTCAAGAATAGGTGATGGGTGCTCTTGAATATCTGCTTTCCATTTAGTCTATTAGTTCAAAATTATAGACAGCTAGGCCATTGTAATTTAGCACGAAACAAAACCAATACAGGTATCAAAACGTATAATGACTTTCAAGACATGCTCATGTGGTCATGAATGATGAATATGATACATTGAAAAATGGTTAAATAGCGAAATGGGAAACTCACATATATGTATATATATATGTGTGTGTGTATCAAATACATTTTATTTACGGCTGATATAACTTTTTGATAATAAAATAATGAAGATAAAACCACATCCGGGAAAGCTGTGTTATTGCTTGATCATAATTGAAAGATAAGTGTATGTGGCCTGTATTATTAATGACGTTTAAATAATAAACTCATTTTTTTTTTATGAGACTTGCATCTCTTTCATCATTTTAGACATTAAGTGGATTATTCAGTTAATGTTTTGTTTTTTCAATAAAAATGTTCAAGTTTAGCAATTGTCGCCCGACATTATTCAAGATGCCAAAATGAATGTGACCAAAGTGATATGAATAAATTAATTTTTTGTCATTGATCAAGATTTCAGTTCTTTTTTAACACAAACGATTCAATATTATAGTCTTTATGTTTCAATGAATATAAGTTCATTTTTCGTGCGACTTATTTCTTTAGTTATTGAAAACTATTGTTATTAACACCAAAGTTAATATATATATTACAAGATTGTTATATTGTTGCTTCGAATGAAGTATTTTTTCTGTAGATCGATATAAGTTGGTTTCTCAAGTCACTTAAAGAAAGAAACTTAAAAAGCGAAACCTCTTTTTGAGTGTGTGCGTTTCTTCCAAACTTGAAACCGATTTAACAGAACATTTGTTTGTTTGTTTCTAGTTAAGCACAAAGCTACACAATGGGCTATCTGTGCTGTGTCCACCACGGGTATCGAAACACGGTGTCTAACGTTATAAGTCCGCAGAAATACCACTGTGCCATTGGGGGGGGGGGGACCAACCAGAACAATCGATTGTCATAGATTGTTGCCAAACATCCACGTATAGTTTGATGACCGTACGTGGAAGATGCGTGGTCAGCTAAATCTAAAAGAGGAAAGTTTTTATCGCCAAACGTTACCTGTCTGCTTCTAGGAAATGGTCAGTTCAAAACTAGAGGAGAAAAAAGCTAGAATTATCCTATTTGACTTGAATGGATATTAGAAACTCTTAATTTTTCTTGAAGAAAAAGGTTGCGTCACTAAATTTTACTTAAACATTTCTTGGAAATGGTCAGCAAAAGTGTGAAGGAGAAAAGGTTGTAGCATCAACTGTTAGTTTACCATTTACAGGAGATAGTTATCTCAAACATAGTAGGAAGAGAAGTTATATCATAAAACCTTGCTTTACCACTTTAGGATATGTTTGGACAAAATAACGACGAGAAAACGCCAAGCTTAAAAAAAAAAATGGTGTTAACTAGGCTTAAGATTAGCAAAAAATAAATAAAATGAAATTCACAAAACAGAAAACTTTACGTTCCACGAGAATGAAGATTGCATGTTTTGTACTGTTAGAAGCATCTATCTTATTGAATCGTCCCGGTGGGTCAACGGTAAGTTTACAGACTTAAAACGCTTTAATCCAGGGTTTGATTCACCGCGATGGACATTGTGCAGCTTTGAGATAAAACAAGAACCTATTGAGCGTTGAAACATTCTTGCTTGTCTTTAATGAGACTTCAAATTAAGCGTGTCAGATTAGCTACAATTAAAAACAAAATGGACGCTTTGTTTTTGAGGTAATGGAGGTTGTAAAAACTTGTTACGATAACGAGTAAGTACCAGCCTTTTTCTCACTGCAGGAAGTTTTCAATGTACCATGCATGAAAATATAATAGCAAAGGGACGCGTGATAGAAAATGACCTGTTTTTTCATTGATCTAAATCTTTGACCAAATGACATAGTTCCACCTGTATGTTCAGTTCCCGGTTTCATAACAAACTTGTACCATTGTTCCAGTAAACAAAATACTCGTTCACAATGAGTTTACTATCATTTTATCAATTAAGACCTTAACGTACTTAAGTCAATGGAAATATTTCAGTTCCGTGACCAAAAGATTAAACTTCCTAATAAATAGCTCTCATAAAAATCGTTTAAATTTGTTTTACGGTAACACTACAGATGAAGATGTTCATCTACTACCCATCTTAGGTGAAGAATGTTATATACTTTTTAATTATGTTATAATACAAGTAGTGACCAAAACCATCCCAGAGTAGGGACTCATTTTTCAGTAGAGATTGAATTGTTGTGCTTAAGGAAATGTTTTACTCTAGACTGTTTGACCGAAAAAAGGTCCTAGAGAGTGGAAATGGTCCTATCACGGAAACTTCACGACAAATACAAAAGTTAGGATAAGAAACTGGCTGTGTGGTATCTGAACGTGCCTGGTTGACAATGCCTACCTGCTCATAATGGGTCCGACCGAGTACTGGTTTGATGACGTTGCATAACGCTCGTGTGCAACCTGTAGCTACGCTCCGATAGCTCGAAGCAGGCGGTCGGTCCCCAGGTTGGTGGAGAGCGCTGATTACACTCCTCTCCGTCACACTGTCTTTGCCTTTCTGTGTTCGTGTGTGACGTTTTAACGTAGTCTAAGTAAATAGCCGTTTGCTGATGGAAGTTTATCTTCGTCATTTCTAAATTTTTAGCCAGACGTTTGTAAAATGTCGCAAAAATATCTAAGTCCTTACGAACACACGTGTCTTCGCTGTGAGCAGACCGTGTACCAGGTAGACAAGGTTGGACCTCTGAAAGACTTCTCTTTCTTCCATCAGGGTTGTTTCAAGTGTTTGGTTTGCGGCTCAAAGTTAACCCTCAGGACTTACTACAACAACCAACAAGATCAGGATGATAAAGAAGTGTACTGTCAGAACCACGTCCCGAAGACAGGTCCAGGTACCTTGGATGGGATGTCCGTGGGGATAAAGTCTGCTCTGAGCGCACCCCGTACAAACCACCTTGTCAATGACCAGATTCGTGGATCTGGCAAGGGAACATTCGATGTAGATGCATTAGGAATCAAGACAGCCCTTTCATCGCCTAGACTGTACGAAGTGGAGAGCAAAAACCGAGAAAGTCTGGCCGGGAAGTTCGACGCTAGTGCCCTCCACATTGCCCACGGGATAAAAGCCACCAAACTTCAGAGGCAGTATCGTATCGAATATGCAGAACGGACAATGGACGAATATTTGGTAGGTGAAGATTTTTTCTCATTGAAATGTAGCAACTCTAGAGATGACACTGGAATTAGTTTGAGCATGCAAGTTGCAGTTAAGGTCCTTGTTGCTTTATACCTTGCTCGAAAAGAAAGTACAGTAGAATACTGGTTTTTGTCACGACATTGGAAACTTTAGTGTTATGATTGCGTATCTTCTACTACTGGAGCTGGATATAGCTACTAATAGGTTATACGTTTTATATTTTTGTGGCAGGAATTAATAGTCATCACACACCTGTATCAGTAAAGAAACTGCATGTTATGTATCTATAATGTTTCACATGTCTTTAGCTCTTTCCTGTGTCATACGTGAGAGGAAAACCAGGATCGTATCTGCATTTCTGTTTCAAAAAATAACAAAAACGCCAGTTCAATAGTTAATGCATCACAACTTTTAAATTCAATGAAAAACAGTATTCGAGAATACGACTGAATAAATTTATAGATGATTTACAAGCTATAATAATATCAGTCGGCGAGTGATATCACTCAAATGCTTGAAATAGCGGGAGCTAGCTACTTGTATATATTCGGTGTTTTATGTATTCTAGATCACGTGTCCTCTCAATACATATTATGCTATGCTATCCGTGTAGTTATTACAAATAATAATAAATATAAGTTTCTTAAAAACATTTTCCTTAACGTCTAATACGATAATGGTAATGCTGATGGACAAAAACACCTTATCTCGAAAGAAAAACACAGACAAACAGAGTATGAGCCATCCATAAACCTAGACGTTATGCCGATATGAAAGTCTATGTCTAAGCATCCTAAAAAAACCCTTTATACCCTCAAATAGTTGTAAAAGTATTACCGAGATAGTTTCTCTGCCTCGGAAAAATAAAAACAACCAATACAGTGTCTTCACTAACTTTAAAGGGTACCATATACCTTAAAAGATTTATCTCCCTGCTAAAAATAAGCCTTATTTTCGTTCAATTAACTTTGTGAACGCAACAGAACATAGCATAATTATCCGAAAACCATTACTAGGGTATTGATAGTGTCAGCGGATGTGACGTCATAATTCGATGGACTAAATACCGTACACTGTTATGGCTACCCGTTTGCGTTGATACACTGGAGGCAACATAGTTAACTCATCGAGACGGAACTTGTTATTCTTGGGAATTTGTTTCGCTACGACCGATGCTTCCCAGCAGGTGTCAGCAACCTTCTGGTGATGATGGACAGACCACAGCGTGGCTGCCGAAACAATTTCGTACAGGATGCTAGCCTGAGGTGGTTAACCAGCAAATACATTAAACCTGCCGTGGAAAAACAGTATAATATAGAAAATTGTGCTTAGTAAATTAGGTGTTTACATTTGGTGGTCATTAATACAGATTTTAGTTACCTTAAAAGGTCAAATTTATAAAGTTTAAAACGTGAAATCATGATTACCTCATGGCTCCTGTCATCTATAAAAATCTAAAATATATGTTTATAACTTTTCGAAGGATATCTATTTTACACCCCGAACAATCTAAGTAACTGAAATATATTTTGATTCGCAATGTTTAAGAATATTACGTTTTTATTATTATTATTTTAAATTGTTTTTATCAAACACACACAGCTTAAACTTATATAATTCTTCTGTTGATTTTTAGTTTTTTACAAAATACCATTAGTTAAAGTGTTAACAATTAAAATCATCATAAAAACTGAGGGATGCTATTCTCATTCATTTGTTCAGTTCCCTATTAACCACGAATACGCCCTTAGGGCCTCCCAAAAATGGGGCTCCCAATCCTACCGTATATTTTTTGAATTAAGACCTTTATGAACGATTATATGAATAATTGCCCCCCAGTGGCATAGCGGTATGTCTGTGGACTTACAACGCTAGAAACCGGGTTTCGATACCCGTGGTGGGCAGAGCACAGATAGCCCACTGCGTAGCTTTGTGCATAATTACAAACAAACAAAATATTAAGTTCACTGATTTGGTCAATTGTCATTTAAAAATTACGTGATTACAATAACTTTGTTAATTTACTGTTCTGTTTCGCCCGTTCCACGTGACCATATCGAAAATCAACAGTCGTCTGTCAGTCAAAACGCTAATTTGTTACTGATAAAGAGCACTGAAAAACTAAAATATAGCTGTTTTTACTAATTATGCCTGGTTACTGTGCCTTGGAGGGGAAAACAAGGTTCTGGCGGTATACATTTATGATGGAACTTGAAATTTGGGAAGTTTACTAGCCACTTGGTGATAAATTGGGGAATTTAAAACATCTAGTTCCCAATAAGATGACTGGGATTTGTTTGTCGAACACGCATCTGATTTCAAAACGAACAACAACAAAAAAAAAGCAACAAATGTTAGTTATTGTAGAAAAAAAAAAGTTTCTTTTTATACACATTCAGGATGCTATACAATATTATCATCAGTGTATAATTTCATATTCTCATTCAGATTTATACTCCTAGATTTGTCAGAACATATTTACATTAAAATATGTGAATTGCGCAGGTTTACAGCCCTAAGTTGATGTAAGTTTCTAATCTACATACGTACAAGGGTTGTCCGAAAAGTTCGTGGCCTGACCTAAAAACAACAACAACTGGAATGTATGATTTCTTTTTCTGATAAATATTAAATTTGAACCTTTTTATGAGTAAACAACACGTAATTTATAACTAAACGAGCTTATTTTGTGTGTTGCTAGTTTTGAAGGAACGAAGTGAGCAATGTAAAGGTCATGGAGAAGATTGAACTTCGTTCCGCGATCAGATATTTTGTTAAAAAGAAAATGACACCACAATGAATCCACCAGTGAAATATTGGTGTACTGAGTTTAAGCGCAATAGACAATCATGTTAAGGTGATCCGAGGTCAGGGCGGCCCTCGACATCGACAACAAGAAAAATTTTAGATAAAGTTGGTGATATGGTTATATATATGGTAAAATAATTACCATTCGAAAGTTAGCAGAGGAAGTAGGAATCAGTAAAAGTACTGTAGCAAGCATTCTGAGTGACAGTTTAGTGCTAGATGGGTTCCAATAATGTTGTCATCTGAGCAGAAACGGATCCGAGTTATTGAAAACCAACGTCTACTATAAAGGTTTCAATAGATTTGTATATATGGATGAAACGTGGGTTCACCACCTCGACAAAAATGCAAGGTGTGCAATGGAAATATCCAAATTCACACACACCAAAGAAGTTCAAGTCACAACCCTTTGCAGGGAAGGTCATGGCATCAATTTTTGGGAATGCCAAAGGTGTTTTACTAGATGATTATTTGGAAAGGGGTCAAACCGTTACAAGAGATTAATATGCATCATTAATCAACAATTTGCGTCAAACAATCAAAGAAAATAGAAAAGGATTGCTCAAAAAAAGGTGTTCTCTTCCATCGGGATAATTCCCTAGTTCTCAACTCACGTGTTGTTTTAAAAGTTATCCACGGTGCTGGCTTTGAGTTACTCAATTCCCCCCCCCCCCAACTCACCGGACTTGCTCCAAGTGACTTTTTTCTCTTTCTTATCCTTAACATCTTTCTAAAAGATCAAATATTTCATAGTGATGATGATCTCGTACAATACTGCCCAGTCATGTATTGAAGACCAAGAAGAAGAGTTCTTTCAGAAGTGCATAAAGGCCTTAGAGCACCACTAGTGTAAGTGTATAGACTCAGGAGGGGATCATGTTGAAAAATAACTCATAGTTGAACGAATATTTCCTTTTTTTATAGGTTGGACTACGAAATTTTCGTATATATAAGGTATTGCCTGTTGTTGAAAATGTTTGCTGACATTAAAATATACGTACAGAAACGTAAGGTGTTTTAAAACATATAGTCGTGTCTCATTAAACATTATTAAAGCTCTGAAGCATGAACGGTCTGTCTGACTTAAAATGTGCGATCAACCAATAACACTCAAAACTTAGTGTGATGTTAATGCGAAAAATAATCTGAGGATAGGAAATCATACACTGATGATAATATTGTATTACTTTAATATTCATTAAAGACTTGGATGGTTTCAGAAACTTTAATCATCAAACAATTTGGGGGAAATGTTCAAGAGAAAAATGTATATTTTATACAATAAATCCGTATACGTTACTTAACAAGATTGTATAAATTGAAATATAACATTAAAATGGTAAAAAAAAAAAAAATTCAAATTTGGCATAAGCCTTTTTATCTCCTGATAAACACCAAATGTATTTTCTTTTCCCCGGAATTATATTCAAGAAACAAATGACCCGTTTAACCGCTACTGGTGAACAACAACTAGGTCAAAGTACTGCTTTTTTCTTGTTGATACTTTAGTGTCTCTAACAATGAACAGGTAACACATGATCGTCGCAGTGAAACCATTGCAATAGAGAAGTGATGATTATATTAATCATCAAATAACTGACTCGTAAAAGCAAGAGTAATCCTTTAATTTCAGTTTGTTTCCTCACATAGGTTAAGATTTTTTTCACATATTTAACTTGTGTGTAGATGTTATACAATATTAGCATCATGTATGGTTTCATGCTCTCGTTCAGGATGTTATACAATATTATCATCAGTGTATTATTTCCTATCCACATTTAGGATGCTTTTAGGTTAATAAATATTGTTGTGTATCACCAAACTAAATTATTATTTCATCATTCTATGTACACAAATCTTTTTAATAAATATTTGACTTTTTTTTTTCTGAGTAGAAAATAGTCATAGAAAGGACCGGTAATTTTTAAAGAAAGTAACTTTGGGCATATGGGAAAAAAAGCTAAAAAAGATTATTAAGTTATTAATCTAGTGGTTTAAATGACTTTTTATATACTTTTATAAGTGATTAATTACTCGAGAAACTTCGTTTACGAACCTAACACTATTAGTCCTGTATATAAAATATTTTACCGATTTGAGCCCAAGATTTTTTTAAATGTCATTAAGAACAAGAACAATCCTTCATTGTCTGTTTTGTTAAAAAAATTCTCGCAAAGCTACAC